GAAGTCCGAGTCTGATGTCAGAAGATGTAACCAAAGAAAATAAACAAAATGACAATAATACATAAATTACAAACAGACTACTAGCAGTTAACTGACATGCCAGCTCCAGACTTCAATTAAACTGATTGAAAGATTATGTCTTCATCATATGAATATCAGGCACAATCCTTCCCGTTATGGGTTTAGTATCATACCATCATAACATATATGAGAAGAACATAACCCGTGTCATGCCAACAAGTGGTTTTTAAATAAATGTGTTTAGTGCCGATGCAAAGACCCTATAAGTGAATCAATATTAACGCCAAAATATGCAATCTTTAATGACCTGACAACAGTATCGTAACTATATCCCTTCTTAATAAGTCTATTTAAAGGTTTTGTTAGCTTCAGAGGTGAATACTGACATTTTTGTGCTTTATAAAGAATATTTCCATAAAAAATTGGATGTGAAATACCTGAACGTATAAGAAGTCTGCATGTTGAGCTATATTTACGAATGATGTCCTTATACCGATGATAAAATTTAGTAAATGTTTTGCCTAGTTTGTGATATCGAAAACCCTGGTGTAATAATTTTTCAGTAATACATAAATTTCTCTCGTTAAAATCTAAAACATTGTTACATACACGAGCGAATCGTACAAGTTGAGATATATAAACACCGTAAGATGGTGACAAGGGAACGTCACCATCTAAAAATGGATAATTAACGATAGGAAATCAAAAATCATCTCTTTTATCATATATTTTAGTATTAAGCTTTCCGTTAATGATATAGATATCAAGATCGAGGAAAGGGCAGTGGTCATTGTTAGTATTAGCTTTATTTAAAGTAAGTAATGTTTTTTTCTTCTTCATTTTTGTCTATCTATGGAAAAGTTTCTATTGTCTTAATTGGGTAGTGATCAGATAGATAACTAACTATGGCTGACAAAACCTCCTTTATTGTACAATCTGGATAGCTGAAAGTAGACAAGAAATAGTCCAATTTCCCCTCGCCGTATCTGTCTATTTTTGGCGGCCAGTTGTTTGGGTGGATGAAACCGGACCACCCAGAGATAACCACCGACTTTCCGCAGGAAAACTGTACGGAAAAGGAGCCCGAGGCACTAAGGTATACATCCAAGTATTTGCAGTGTTGTTTAACATTCAAGTTCATGTACTTTATAATTAAATTTATGACGTATGTTTGTCCGCCTTATTGAAGATTAAGAGTTTGGTTTTGATTGGATTTACAGTCAGACACCAGTCATTACAATATCTATCAAGGATATCAAGTTTAGCTTGGAGGTCTTTTGCAGTGGAGGAACATGGAATTATATCATCGGCATACATAAAGCAATTGAGAGGTTTATTATTAAATAGCACCGGATCAGGAGAATTTTCAAGATTTTCTTGAAGATCATAGATGAAAATCTTACATAAATTAGGGCTAAGGTTGTCTCCTTGCTTTACCCCAAGCTTAATAGGGAAAAAAATTGTTATGCCATTTTTTACTTTAATCAAGGATTTGTATAGTAAGCGTTAATGCAAGATTTGCTGACTTCATACATTCTGCTTATTATGTTTTAAAATAAAGAGCCTACGCCAGCTTGCACTATTTTGATTTTTATACATGTATGAATGACTGTGTTAAACGATTTTTGAAAATCAACAATCGTCCGTCTTTAGAGTTACAATATGTATCAATAATATATTTCAATATAAACAAGTGATCAGTTGTTCTAGTCTTCCTTGTAAATCCAACCTGACATGTATCAATGATTTGGTGTTTCTGAAAAAGTATCTAGTCTGTTAATAAGGATGAAATTAAAAAGTTTCCCCATGACATTCGTGACTGTAATTTTTTTGGATAAATCACACTAGATAGACAAGAATTGAATATTTTTTCTATGCTAGGTACTAGTGCATTTTGACCATATTTCGACATGTTGTTGGAAATGCTACCGAATCTTGTAGATTTAACACATTTTAGCTTAGAAATTGCCTTTGAAATTTCATCTCTACTGATGCACACATCTAGCTCATTAAATACTTTTTGTTTTTGTAACATGTCATGCTTGAGCTCAAGGTTTTTCAAACGTTCTTTGAAATTATCTTCACTTGGTTCAAATTTTTGAAGTGAGAGATCCAAGAGGGTGGGTCAACAGCTGAGCTCTTCTGACTTGCATCTTTCGTTGTCTGAGATCGTTAACAAGATTCCAATAGAGTTTTGGATAGCTATCGTGAAGCGAATCCAGGTGATTAATAAGCGTTTGTTTATATAGTCTATATTTAACTTTGCTATTTATTATATTCTCTTTGAAGTTTGTAATAGTGATTATTTACAAAAGTATCTCAAGAAAATTTTGAATGCCATAATTGCCTATAAGAAGTCTGACAGTTTTTGTCGAGCCTGCGACTTTTGTCGCAGAAAGTTCGACATAGGGATAGTGATCCGGCGGCGTTAACAAACTTCTTAAAAGCTTAATATTTCAGAAGGTAGAAGACCTGGATCCTTCATACTTTGTATATAGATGTCCTATGTTTTGAAGTTTCAGTCTGTCATATATCTATTGTCCTTGACCTCATTTTCATGGTTCAGTGACTACTTGAAAAAAAGTTAAGATTTTTAGTATTCTTAACTTCTCTCTTATTATGAGTAATAGGATAACTATATTTGGTATGTGCGTACCTTGCAAGGTCCTCATGCCTGTCAGACAGTTTTCACTAGACCTCGACCTCATTTCATGGATCAGTGAACAAGGTTAAGTTTTCGTGGTCAAGTCCATATATCAGATACTATAAGCAATAGGTCAACTATATTTAGTGTATGGAAATATTTTACGATGAACATGTCAGTCTGGCAGGTTTTATTTGACCTTGACCTCATTTTCACGGTTCATTGCTCAGTGTTAAGTTTTTGTGTTTTGGGTCTGTTTTTCTTAAACTATAAGCAATTGGTCAACTGTATTTGGTGTATGGAATGATTGTAAGGTGTATATGTCTGTCTGGCAGGTATCATCTGACCTTGACCTCATTTTCATGGATTATTGGTCAATGTTAAATTTTCATGTGTAAGTTTGTTTCTTAGATACTATAAGCAATAGGTAAACTATATTTAATGCATATGATTGATAATAAGGTGTACATGTCTGTCTGGCATGGTTCGTCTGACCTTGACCTCATTTTCCTGGTTCATTGGTCAATGTTAAATTTTCCTGGTTAAGTTTGTTTCTTAGATAGAAATAAGAAGATGTGGTATGAGTGCCAATGAGACAACTCTCCATCCAAGTCACAATGTGTAAAAAGTAAACAATTATAGGTCAAAGAACGGCCTTCAAAGCAGAGCCTTGGATCACACCAAACAGCAAGCTATAAAGGGCCCCAAAATGACTAGTGTAAAACAATTCAAACAGGAAAACCAACGGTCTAATCTATATAAAAAACGAGAAACGAGAAACATTAAATACTTTTGCTCACTTATGAACCACATCAATAAACGACAACCACTGAACAACAGGTTCCTGACTTATGACAGATTAGAAACTGTAAGCAATAGGTCAACTATATTTTGTGTATGGAATGATTGTAAGGTGTACATGTATTTCCGGTTTGGCTTATCTGACCTTGGCCTCATTTTCTTGGATCATGTTAAGTTTATGTGATACTTGTAATAAAGCTTTATATTTAGGACTATCAACATAATATCAATGATCAGTAAAGCAGGCGAGACAATTCAGTCTGTGCACTCTTGTTTAAGTAAATATAGAGTAGGTAGGTCTGATCATTCTGAACAACGTGCCCTGTCAGATTTTACTTTTTTAGTGGTTTTCAAAATAATAGACAATAACTTGCATTTTACCCCTATATTATTATTGTTAACCATGTAGGCTTTCTTGTTTGGGAGACAGGGTCATTGGACACATTTTTTTTTAACTAGATAGTCCAATAATGATTGTGGCCAAGTTTTATAAAAGGATGACGACTGACAAAGGATACCAAATGATGGCCAGGTGAGCTAAAAAGGGAGAAACAATGAACATCACCGACTATATTTCTAACCCGAGACAAATCATAAACAGGACAAACATTTAATCAGGGAAAACATGATTTATTTATTAGTTGTAATTGGCTTTGAACAGTATTCTTTTATCTGTGCTTTGTGTCTATTCTTTTTATATTAGTTTTTTTTGTGCTGTGAACCAATCTAATGAGTTTAGCCATTTGCAACTGATTTTTACAGTTTGTTCTTATGTTGTGCTCCACTGTCCCAGGTTAGGGGAGGGTTGAGCGCTCACAAACATGTTCAACCCCGTCACATTAATTCCGTGTCTGTCCCAAAGTCAGGAGCCTGTAATTCAGTGGTTGTTCTTGGTTCATGTCTACCATATTTGTTTTTCATTAATTGTATTGTTTAAAAAAGGCAGTAAATTTTCTCGTTGGAAATGTTTCACATTTTTCATGTTGGAGCCTTTTATAGCTTACTATACAGTATTGGTTTTTCTCATTGTTGAAGGCTGTACGATGACCTATAATTGCTTTTATCTTTGTTATTTGAACTCTGATGGATAGTTGCCTCATTGGCAATCATACCACATCTCCTTAGTTTTTATTTTTATAATGTGCAATTGGAAATAACCATTATGTCAAAGGAACATCACTTTTACTGCTGCCTATAGTTTCTTATAACTTAACATGATTATCTTTCAAGTAAATTGGCTGCAAAAAATTAGTTATGAAAAAGCAACATCAAAAATTGATAAATGATATGTTTCGTCATTTATTTGTAAAATTAACGTTCATAAAACAGTTCAAAACTTTAAATCATTTAAAACACTGAAAGGAAAGGTTTTTCTATCCTAGTCGCATTAGGCTGATAAGGCACAACTTTTAAGAATTATAGGATTGAAATATTTTGTGTCAACAAAACACACTTCCAGTGTACTAAATTATTAGCCTTGTTTCTTTGATGATATTTTACACAAACTTACACAAGTTATAGAAATTCAAAGACGTTTATCAATCTTTTATAATCTCTTTTAATGGTTTAAAATTAGTATAATTTTACTACAGATCTGATGAAAATTCTTGAGATACATGCAGATAAAGTTAAATATCAGGCAGAACACATGTTGCATTAATATAGTCATACATTCTAAATCTCAATGGTTAATAAAATGCACCGCTGGGCGCAGCTTGATACAACCGCAGAGGTCGAACCCTGAACAGTTGGGGCAAGTATTCAAGCTTGATACAGCACTGAATTTGGATTGAAATTAAATATTTGACACAGCATAGGTTTCTGACACAGAATGAATGTGGTCTAAGAACTTAAAATTTTTTAATTTACCTATTCAAACCATATCATTATTATTTGCTTTTATATATAAATCAGAAATAACCAATTTAAAATGGAAAATTTTAAAGAAAAAAAAGGAAAAAAAAATCCCCCCCAAAATTTTTTTTTTTTTGAACCCCCTTATGATTCATCACCCCCAAACTCAATCCCAGCCTTCCCTTTGTGGTATGGTACCTTGCAATTTCAGAGAGATCAATACACTTGAACACAAGTTATTGTCTGGAAACTAGAAAAATGCTTGTTTTTTGGCCCCTTTTTGGCCCCAAATTCCTAAACGTTTAAGGCAATTACCCCCAAACTCAAACCCAGCTTTCCCTTTGTGATATGGAACCTTGTAGTACAATTTCATAAAGATCCATACACTTACACACAAGTTATTGTCCTGAAACTAGAAAAATGCTTGTTTTTGCCCCTTTTTGGCCCCTAATTCCTAAAATTTTGAAGGCAATTACCCCCAAAATCAATCCCAGCCTTCCCTTTGTGGTATGGTACCTTACAGTACAATTTCAGAGAACACAAGTTATTGTCTGGAAACTAGAAAAATGCTTATTTTTGGCCCCTAATTCCTAAACGTTTTGGGCAATTTCCCCCAAACTCAATTCCAGCTTTCCCTTTGTGATATGGAACTTTGTAGTACAATTTCATAAAGATCCATACACTTGCACACAAGTTATTGTCATGAAACTAGAAAAATGCTTGCTTTTTGCCCCTTTTTTGGCCCCTAATTCCTAAAATTTGGAGGCAATTACCCCCAAAATCAATCCCAGCATTCCCTTTGTGATATGGGACCTTGTGGTACAATGTCAGAGAGATCCATAAACTAACACACAAGTTAAGTCTGGAAGTTACAAAAATGCTTATTTTTGGCCCCTTTTGGGCCCCTAATTCCTTAACTGTTGGTACCATAACCCCCAAAATCAATCCCAACCTTCCTTTTGTGGTATTGAACCCTATGGTAAAATTTCATAGAGATCCATTCACTTAAACTAAAGTTAGAGTGCGAAAACCAATGTGTCTTCAGATGATGATGACGATGACGACGACGTCATACCAATATACGACCACAAAATTTTTTTTGCGGTCGTATAAAAACATCAAATTGAAAGACCATGCTACAATTACTCCATTACAGATTCTGGTTTTGACACAAGACAACTTTTAACACCGTACATTCAATCATTATGATTTATATATGATTAATAAATATATTGTTAATCTGTCAGTAATTGCAATGTCACTGTATTATTTTCTATATCATATTCTAAACATACCAATATTATCCAAATTTTAATGTTTGCAGATAAAAAAATTTTGCAATAATTTCATATCTAGAAAGAATCTCTTACAGAGTAAATGTCTTTGGAAAACTTTCAGATAACGAAAAATAAAACCTAGAAAATTTCGACTAGTCATTTCTTTGAGCAAATTTAAATAGCAAAATTTTTCTAATATACAGATTATATTCTTCACAACAGTGTCACAATAGGATTTAACCTTATGAAAATGAATAAATTCAATTGTTGATCCTAAATAAAATTCAGATGCAGATTCAGAAACCATAACAGATTTTTATGCAAAAAGCTGAGATTTGGCTATCCTAAACTTTTAGAAAATTTTAAGCAAATACAAAGAATTTGGTACCTGATTTTGATCCCAAGCATTAGCTACAACATAATTGTAATAAAAATCTTGATTTTTGTTTTTTAATAGTGCTGCATTTTATATAAGGTAAGCACACAAAACAAGATTTGTTACTTAATATGATTTTCTTTTGTTGTTATATCATAAAAACATTTTGATTGGTAAACATTCTATTTATGAAATGTACAACATATTTGTTGATCATGTTGATAGTCAGTTTTGAATTAAGGAAGAGCTCTACTAATTACTCTGACAAGTTAATTTTGATTTCTAAATGAAATTACTAAAGAGTCTGTGTCACACACCTAGATCAAAGTGCATCTTCAATAATTGCCACTCTCCAACATTGTAGACTTTAATATAATTCAATTAAATCTGAAATCTCTTTTTTGTTGATCTTGTATTACTTATAAATTTTTTCAGATTAGTTTCTTTTTAAAGTATTTACCAAAAACACAAAAATGGATAAAATTATAGTCATTTAACAACTCCAAAAGGAAGTCAGTCAACTGACAATTTCAGCTATGTTTGACCTATTGTAGATCTCATCTTGCTGATCAATTTTTCCATTAGAAGTTTCTCTTGATCTATTCTAGTTTTCAAGATTATAGACAAAAATGAAAAAAAAATGGTCAAATTTGTCATTTAAGGGCAATAACTCTTGTAATTAGTCATCTAACTATTTGAATATAAATAGACAGAAGTTAGTTCTCAACATGTTTGTCCGATTAGATTTTCTTTATATATAGCGGTTTTGTAGATAAAAGACAAAACTTGCATTTTACCCCTATGTTCTATTTTTAGCCTTGTCACCCATATTGTTTGGCAGGTAGGATCATTGGACACATTGTTTTTAACAAGACACCTCAATGATTAAGTGGCCAAGTTTGGTTAAATTAGGTCCAGTAGTTTAAGGTGAAAAGATTTTTGTAAAAGTTAACAGACAACAGATGCCAATTGATGACAACAGCTCACTTCACCATATGGGCCAGGTGAGGAAATACAAAATAAAATAAATATTTGTCCTGGATCTGCTCATTTGACACATTTTTCTTACATGCTATTGTTCTTAAAACAATATAAATTCCTAACTTAAAAGAATACATCATTCTTCAAAATACATAACTACTAATCACACACTCTGATCTCATGTCATAAAACTAGTTTGTTCATATTGCTGAGTGGATAAGAAGTTTCATTCCACCAAATACACAAGGGTATCATCAAAGATTTCTCCTTCTGTATCCATTCCACCATGTATAAGCACCATCTTCATTGTATGTTTAGATTTAATGACATCATTAAACACACTTGAAGTCGCACCTTCAGCTCTAGGAGTTTCTTCCTCATCAGATAGATTTTCTCCTTCCTCAAGAGTCTGTATATCATTGCCTGTACTAGAACTTTCTGGAATAATTTCAAAGAAATATGTATATTTAAAAGAGTGTTTGATAGATAACTTGTATCTAAAACGGAACACTTTCTGAAATAATAAAGAAGACTATTTTTAACAGGGTGTATGTATATGAAAGAAAACTTTCATCTGACTTGATACTGTAGATATTCATGTGTCTGTCCCAAGTCAGGAACATCTGTGGTAGTTTTCGTATACCAAACATAAAGTTTTTCATTAGGGTTGTTCCATAGGTAGCAAGTCATTTTGTACCTTGACCATTTCGTACCGCTACCATTTGGTACCCAAAATTACCATTTCGTATCCAACATTTACCATTTCGTACCCATGATAAAAACCATTTCGTACCCTATGGGCTAAATGCATCTACCATTTCGTACCTCATGGACTAAATACATGTTTACTATTTCGTATCATATATTTGTAAAAGTTTTCATTTTTTTTAAGATATAAAACATTTTGAGATGATTTTAATTTTTTTAAATTAAAACATAAATAAAAAGCATCCATCCCAGCCGTAGAAATTTTATATTGACTGATGATTTGTTTGATTAAGCAGCACTTGGAAACTTAAATAGTTTTAACTACACTTTGTGCATTTGCTGGATTTTTAATTTTTCTTTATATATTTTTTTATATCTAACCTTCTACATTTCAAAAACGTTCGGTAGATATCTTTTTTGTTTAGTGTGTATTGCATATTTCCTAAAAGTATTATTTAAAAAAAAAACTCAAGCATATGATATATACATTTAGGTTCAACTACACCTTAGGATAATCAATTGATGACGTCATTGATTGTAACTCAATATTTAGGCACACGTTGCAATTTCAAATGGCACATGTATTTAATAAACATTTTTAATCCAATTAAATAGACCACTACCTTTTTAAAACAACACGCCAGTACGTGGCGTGTGTCATTATTTACTTTATTTTAGGCACTTCTCATGACCTCTACCGCCTTACAGTAAAAAAAAACACATTTAGACTATTTTAACCGAGAAATGAAACACATATAAATCTTCCTAGAGGTATGAAGTGGCATGCATACAAACCTACCATGAGGTACAAAATGGTATACATACAAATCTTCCATGAGGTACGAAATGGTATACATGTACATATATATCTTCCATAAGCCTAAATTACAAAATGGAGCACATCAATAAGACAGCTTTACCAAGAAATCAAAAACATATAAATCTTCCACCAGGTACAAAATGGTATACATATACATTTTCCCTGAGGTACGAAATGGTACACATGTTAATATTCCATGAGGTACGAAATGGTCAAGGTACGAAAAGGTCAGGGTACGAAATGGTTTTTGCCATGGAACGAAATGGGGGGTACGAAATGGTTAGGGTACGAAACGACTTTAATTCGCTCCATAAAACATACATGGGACCAAGGGAAGACACTGTGATATCACCACATGGGTTGGGTGTAAAGTACAGCAAAAATATATGTGTCATTCTAAATTTGCCTATATAGGTGGCTACCCAATTTGAAAGTGCCTTCCATGGGAACCATGTATGTTTTTAAAAATGGAAAGGCCCTTAATATTTGGAGAATTGAGTTTTAATGGCAATCTTTGATTGTTTCTGCTGATTTATTCACAAATTTCATAGACTCTGGAAAATTAGAGATTGAAATATGGTTAAGACATCTGTCTTTTGTTGAAGACTGTATGCTGCACTCCAGATGTCTTTTGTTGAAGACTATGTTGCCCTCCAGATGTCTTTTGTTGAAGACTGTATGCTGCACTCCAGATGTCTTTTGTTGAAGACTATGTTGCCCTCCAGATGTCTTTTGTTGAAGACTGTATGTTGCCCTCAAGATGTCTTTTAGTTACATTTGATTTTGGGTTCTATTCTCATTGACATATACTTCACCTATATCTCATTTTATTCTTATTCCTAAATTTTTTCATTGTGACTTTTGTGTGCGTCAATCATAATTCAATGTATTGTATTTCAGTTGCCCAACAGGCAACTAACTCGTTACAGCAATATTTCATCAAATACAATATATCTACCTTATTTATTTAACAATTTATGATTTATTATTTGTCAGAGGTATGAATAAATCTAAACATTATATTGGTAAATCAAAGAAAGTGTGAGAATACTATAAATGTATCAGGTTCCCATTTTATTTATTAATTAAATTCTGCAGGTACTAATTTTTAGTTTCACAAAATTATAATGTTTACTGGGCATGATTTTCCTTTGTCAAAATTTTTGTTCTTCCTGTTTTAGAAACCTGTATAAACTGGTTTCCTGCTTAGCTGAATTTTAATCAGGACATCTATTGTATTGTTTACATTTTGTTATCATGTTATCACTATTTTATTTAGCCAGAACATAGATGATTTGCAAAATATGATAACTGCTGTAAACTCTTCTTCTAAAGAATATGGTTTATATATTAAGGTAGATTCACTGTATACGGCCATCATGGATTGTACAAAAGCAGTACATAATCGGTATAGATCTTTGCCTAAATCTGCAAATTTAAAGACAGATTTGCAATTTATGTGTAAGACTATTTGATTATATAAAGAAAAATAACTGATTTATTGCATTATCCAAAATGTTTAAACAATATTTGTGTCTTTAGATTCAATTTTTCAACTTAGCATTTAAGGGGAGATAACTCTTATAGTAAAAGTTTTATACTGAAATGATAGTGAAATTTTATTTTTTTACTTGTAGCAAGAAAACAAGTTCAGTGACACCATTTTTTCTTTTTATTTTCTTAAAGCATTTTATAAAATCTATCTTCTCATATTTTATTTCAAAATTCTATCTCATAGATTTCTTAACATTCACGAAAAATTGTGTTTTTTCATGAACAATCTATCAAATTTGTGCAATTTTGCACGACTTGTAGCTTGAAAAATAGCATGATGACCCATACTTTTTATTATATTTTCGAAAAAAAGCATAGTAAAATCTTCATTTAGGCAAAGTATAAGAAAATTCTATCTGAGGAAATATATACCAATGAGCCACCTTAATATGTCTATTTAAGTAGTCGTGTTTAGAAATAGAGGTAGTGTAAAAAGTAAAAAAAAAATGGTTTTTAAATAATAACCAACTTGATGTATATGACAATTTTGTATATTTAGGTATCCTTATTAATCATAATGGTATACGTATCTTTTTACATACATAAAAAATGTTAGCCAATCAAGGTAGAAAAGCTTTTTTTGCGTTATGTATTAAAATTGTAGATGATTATTATAACTGTGAAACGTTACTGTCCTTATTTGATACTTATGTATCTAGTATTCTTAATTATAGTTGTGAAGTGTGGGGTAATCATAAAGCTGATGATATAGAGAAAGTACATGTATATTTTTTAAAACAAATTCTAAAGGTTCCAAAAAGTGCTGTTAATAACATGGTTTACTGTGAATTGGGACGTTACTCTATGTACTATTAAAAGACAGTCAGAAGAATGATTCAGTTTTGGTTTAAAATATAAAAATACTGATAACTGTATGAAAAGCATGTTATGAAAATATGTTGGAGATTTCATTTAAAAAACCCAAAGACAAATTGAATTGGGCATGTTCAGTCAGAGATATTTTATATAAATATGGTTTCATGATGTATGGCTAAAACAAAGTGTAAATAATGTTGATATACATGTATTTATACATGAGCTAAAACAAATTATAAAAGATACTTTTATCACTGATGTTAATACCTTTTTTTAACAATTTATCTAAATGTATACTTTATAGGTATATATATGACACAGATATATTGCAGTTTTATTTAGATAGACCTCGTCCTGTTAATCAAATATATCAACCTTATATATATGTAAATATCGTATCTCTGCCAATAGTCTCAATATAGAGACAGGCAGATATTACAATGTAGATAGAGAAAATAGGCTATGTACTATGTGCAAAAGCAATATTATTGAAGATGAATACCATCTTATTTTAGAAGGTAATAGGCACAGTGATGTAAGAAAACAATATATTAAGAAATAGTATTGTCAAAAACCATCCACTTTTAAACTTATACAGTTGTTTAATGATATCAGTTCACAATGTGAAAGAACTTAATAATTTAGGTACCGGTAAATTTTTTTTCAATATAAAAAAAATCTGTAATATGTCGTTGTATTCCTTATTTATCATAAGAATTTATTGTCATTCTCCCCCATATGTTTATTTGGCATAATTATTGTTATTAATATTACACTGATGCATTTAAAATTTAATGTAAAAATGTATATTCTATAAACTGTATTGCTTCTGAATAAAATATTATTATTATCTAATGATTTATTTTAGCATACTATAGGGTATGGGTTTTGCTAATTAGTAATTGTTGAAGGCTTTGAATTGTAGTTTTTTTACATCTTTGTCCTTTGGTTTTTTTATGAATAGTTGTCTCATTGGCAATCATACCACATCGTCTTACTTTTTTTTCTACACTGAATATTTAAAGGAATTTAACCACTTATGTGACTGAACATAGTATGAAGCCTTGAAGGGGTTCAGTTCAGACAAGTTATAATGTAATTTTTCACTTTTACCATGTTTACAGATACTGTAAAAAAAATAGCAAAAATTGAAATAGTGGGAAAATTATAAATTTTGCAGTATATAGTGGAACTCAATAAATTAAAATTGAAAGGACCCCAACTAAGCATATACGTTTGAGTCTACTAAGGTTTACATTATCTTTTTTCATTCCAATAGTGTACCTTGTACATGTATCATCAAACTTTTTTATTTTATATTCCCCTCCATTGATAGTATTAGAAAATATATTTATAACATTTAACCAAGACTCAGTAAACAGTACACATTAGATATTTTAAGTATGTCAAGACAAGAGAGCACATGCTGAAATGTCTCGCCTGCTTTACTGACCATTGATTTTATGTTGAAAGTCTTAAAGATAAAGGTTTTACTACAAGTATCACAAAAAATTTACATTTTTCGAGATCCATGACAATGAGGTCAAGGTCAGATAAATTCTGTCAGACAGACATGTTCACATTACAATTATTCCATACACCAAATCTAGTTTACCTATTGCTTATGGTAATTGAAAAAAACAGATGAAAGCACAAAAACTTATCATTACCACCAATGAACCATGAAAATGAGGTCAAGGTCAGATAATACCAGTTAAGACCAACATGTAGACCTTACAATCATTCCATACACCAACTGTAGTTGACCTTTTGGATATAGTACTTGAAAAACAGACCAACACACAAAAATTTAACATTAACCAATGAACCATGAAAATGAGGTCAAGGACAAATGAAACCTGCCAGACTGACATGTACCCCTTACAATCATTCCATTCAACACATGACCTACTGCTTACAGTATCTTCTACCTTTTGAAATAAAAAGCTTTATACAAATAGTTTATGCCCAACACCCCAGGATTGTAATCCCTATGTCTCGCATATTGCCACTTTCCGTGGCAGGCGAGACAAAAAAACTAACTAGAGACTCCAAACACCCTTTATTGCTCACCTGGCATTTTTGCATAAAATTAATACAATTAATGCAACAAAAATATCTGTTTTAGTTGTCCAAAGTCTTGTCTGGCTTGTAGTTTTCACTAGACCAAGTTTGTGTCTATCCAGCAGTTTTTAAAAAAAGGTCAAAAATGGGTTATATTGAAATTGAGGGGTAATAAATCCAGTAAGGAGTTGACCGACAATTTCAATCATATTGACATATTTGTAGATCTTGTGCTGCTGATAATTTTTTTAATTTGACTTATCTCAGAAGGTTGGAATGCAAATGGATGACTAGCAAATAAACTGTTTCATAATAAATTTTTTTTTGCAGCGACCAAGCATAAATAAAATGCTCCGCTGGGCACAGCTTGATACGACCGCAGAGGTCGAACCTTAAACAGTTGGGCAAGTATGGACACAACATTCAAGCTTGATACAGCACATAAACTAAAGTTAAAGTGTGAAAACCAATGTGTCTTCGGACGACGACGACGCCAACGTCATACCAATATACGACAGCAAAATTTCATTGCGGTCATATAAAAAATGAGTGAGTGCAGAGATTTAATTTTAATTTGATTGCTTAAATACCAACCATAATTATACTCATGATAACTTTCTCTTGAGCCAGCACTGCCAACTTGTCGACTTCCTGGTCTAGAACTTGCACTTTCTGGTAACTGCCGATCTCTAGAACTTGCACTGCCAATGTTACTGCTGCTTCTAGAACTAGCACTTCCAGGCTTCATTGCAAGTTCTAGCATTTCTTGTGCATGTTTTGAGGTCTCCAATACATCTGTATTTTCATTAGCAGTTGATGGAAGATCTCTTGATAGTTCTATAGTACACATACCGAAGTCGAGACGACAGGTTGGTGGTGGTCCAGCTAATTCTATCTTACACCAAGTTTTGCAGCCTGGAACATGAATATAATATAAACAATGAATGACACTTTATAAATTATGCATCACAGCATTTCATAAAATATTTAGTTTAAGGTTGCTGAAATCTTATCTCAAAGCAAAACTTTTTATCAGTAGTGAATACTAAGGAAAGTACTGGTAATCCTTTTTAATTCTGCAATTTTTCTGATTGTCATTTATTTAAAGTACATGTATACAATACTTTGCAAGGTGATTCAGTTAAAAATCTCTCTTTCTGGCAAATAAGTGAATCACTGTGATTCTGTGAAACAAGGTGATTGCTGGAGGTGATAACACTCTGATTAATGTCATACATAACCTTCTGTGGATTCATTATTATTCATGGGATACCAATTTAAATAGAATTCATAGGTAAATGTGAACCACAATTTAAAATGTTCAAAGAAGTGTAAATATTCTATAGGCTTGTATGATCTTGTTTTTATATATGCAAACCTTGGCAAAACCATGAAATCAAATATTCATGAAAATACTTTTTCCTCAATCCACAAAAACTGGTACACACGAAAATAAATGAAACAACAGTATTAGGAATGTACAGAGTGATAAATCAGAGTGGATCACCAGCATGTACTGTGAAAATTTACCAACAAGGATGATTTTGAACTGATTCAACTTGTATGTACTGTATAAAATGAACCAATACAGCTGCAAGGCTGAACATTTAAATTTAACATGTTATGGTTTTAAGTTATTGCCAATCATATGCATATGTTCAGATTTTTATTCAAAAGGTAACATAGATGTCTTATCCTAAAACCATCAATTTGTTGATATTTCTATTTTTACAACCTCTGAACAGCTTTATCCATCCAATGATATAAGCTAGTCTTATGTTCTATATATATGTATATAACATTCATACCAAGTATAATAAAAATGTTTAAAACCTAGGTTATCATTCACCTCAAGAGATCACTATATGTGTTTGTTTCTTTTTTCCCAGTATGCAATGTTCATATGATTCCTATTACATCAACTTGGTCACATGCAATAGACTGCATGTATGTTGATAACAAATAAGTTTTGATTGACATAATATGAGCAGCAGTTACTTCCCTTTTGTTGCCATGTTGGAGGTCTCTATGCACAAATGTCTTCATAAATAAGCCAAATTCAACTTGTTATTAACTGACTGCTAGACTTTATAAATTTATTTTACAAAAAAATGTTGTTTTCTGAACCATTTTTTATTTCTTTATTAAGCATTGCTTGATTCATCACTACAATCTAGTAAGGATCTTTTATCAGAATTAGTTATACCACAAATTTCAATTTGGTTATAGTCTAATAAGAAAATCAACCATGCATTTACCCCTCCAAATTGGCAGCCAAGGGAAATAACTCTAACTCAATTAACGTCATATTTACCATATATATTTGAAACCCAAATAATTCAGTAGTTATATTCTGCTGATCTACGATTACTTCATTAATCGCAAGTAGGAGATATCGGTTACCGGAGGGACTGAATTATTCGGGTTAATATATTTGAGGATTGATTGTTGGCTTCAATATAAACCCACTGGCAAATTATGATCATGCATGCTTAGAGATATTTAACTACCAAATGCACATAATTCATTTCATTAATAAAAGATTGATTGATTGTTGCATGCTTAACATCCTAAGGCATTTATTTCATACATGTTCAGGATAAAAATATATTAACAATGAATACAATAGGTAGAATCTTCAAGGTAGGCAGAACTGATTAAGCAAGGGAAATGAAGACTGTCATTGGAAATAGGAATATGTTGGATAGGGGCAGTAATTTGGCCTTGCAACAGGCCACCTAAGGACCCTTCAGAGTTGTTGCAAGTTTTCTTTAACATGCAGAGAGACTGAGAGAGTGCGGCACTCTCCCTCCAAAGGGCAACAGATTTAATGTCCCCATTCCCAAGGAAAGTTGCTTATTTACACATCCTTCAGAGCCATACTAAGCCTAATTTTAGCAAGGGTTTTACTGCTGGAATGGATGGATTCCAGGGATGGCCATGTTTCTTCACCCGAGTCATCATTAATAAGATAAGGTCATACTAAACAAAACAAAAATGTTTTTGTGTACTTATTTACACTAATGAAACTGTGAAAATTTTCAGTTTTATTCAAATTTTTTGCCATGCGTTTCAACAATATAAGTGCACGATTACAAAGTTTTATCTCTGAACAAGGAAGAAAACAGATAATTTCTATTGACTGGTTAAAAATAGACCATACTTCAACCAGGAAGATATCTATTGATTTTTGTAATAAAACCATATTCCAAAAATAGAACTGACAGAAAATTAGGGTCTGCTAAATAACTGAGAACAAATTACCTTGTGTTAAAAATAGATAAAGACATCTATTGATTTCTGTGGTATTTTAATAGTAAATTTTGAAAGCAGTAACAAGTCTGTTAAATAACAGAAAATTTGTACCTGGCGTTTTTGTTTTGTTTATTCTATTATCACAACTGAACTATTTCTTATTTAGACATAAAATAATTTGTAAGATTGGTTTCTACTAAACTCTATTTCCTGAACTAAGAATTGAAATGCATGAGGCAAATAAGCCCACTAATTCAGTTACATTTTCTTCCTATATTCTCGTCATTTTCAAACAAATTTACAAGATAAAATGTTATCTATGGTACATCTAGCATTGACAAAATCTGATAAAACTCAGGAAGTTTATCCTAAACAACACATATATTACTGTGGATTCATTATCATTCATGGGATACAAATTTCCGTGAAAAAGTGGGTAAAAGTGAACCAGAATGAAAATGTCCAACTAAGTAAAATTTTCTATACTATAGGCTTGTCTGCCCACTTTGTAAAAACTTCAAAATCAAATATCCACAAAAATACATGCAGTTTTTCCTCATTCCACAAAATTAAATGAATCCACAGTAAAAAAAAGCTTACTTGTATCAAATCTGTACAGATCATCTAAAGCACCATCTCTGTTCATTCCACCACAAATAAACAACATGCTACCAACAGAGGTGCCACTGTGTCCTGCTCTTGCAGTGGGGTATACTTTTTTATTTTTAATATGAGACCAAGAATTTTTGGTCAGGTCTAAACAATGGAAGTCATCAAAGAAGGAAGATCGTGCCATTCCTCCATGTAAATAAATTTGGTTTCCACCAACACCAACCATCACATGACCATGTCTCGACTTGGGTGCGTCTCCTTTAATGACCTTAGTTGACCAGGTTAATGATATTGTATCGAAAAAATGAACTTGTCGGTCTTGAACTGGTTCTGCTTGATTATGACCTCCACTATACACAACTAATTTATCACCAACAAGTGAATTTGTATGAAATGTTCGTGGAGTTGGAGGATTACCAGATACCTCGGCAGTGGACCATGTGTTTTTCACAGTGTCAAAAATCTGAACATCATTCATATTACCAGTATTATCAGCACCACCAAAAATAAATATTTTTTCTGGACTACTTGGGGGAATAAATGCTGCATGTTCATACCGTGCCCTGAATCCAGGTAAATCCATAATATCCCACTGACTTGTGTTGAGATCAAGTACAAATGTATCACAGAATGCTCCACTGGGATTAGCACCACCTATGACATAAAGTTTTCCATTGTCATCCTCGCTATTTCCTTTGATATAGGTGCAAGTGTGTCCAACACGTATTGATGGACAATCTCCAAAGGTGGACAAAACATACCAAAGGTCATGATTTGGAATTGTATCTGGTTCCAAAAACGGGTGAAGCTCCATGGTAGATTTGATTAATTATTTGAGTTAAGTTTGTTCGATTAGAAATTGGTAAACTGAGCTAAGAGATTCCTTGATAAAACAATATCAAAACTTGAGCATGCAATTCAAGCAAAGGACTGACCACTATTAAAGTTAGTACAGAAATGATAAATTTTGAAATTAATGATAGCAAAGCTTAAAAAATATATACAGCTAGGCAGAAATTTACATCAAACTATACTACATATGGTTGATTGAACTGGTGTTGTATCAGTTTTTAAATTCTGTATAGTTTTTTTCTTAGCAACCACTCCAGAGTTCCCATAGTGACTGAAATCAACATGTGCTTGGCCACCTGAAGCAGAGTGATCAGTAAAACTACGTCTTTTCAGTTCAAGTTGAGAATCACGCTTTTTTCGTTGTTGCTGTTGAAATATCATCAGCGATGTATCTTCATATCTTTGATGCACAAAATAGGAGGAGTCATAATAAGATGGTGTCTTACTCATTGATAATTAACTTTCATCCTTTTTTCACCTAAAAAAACAAACAAACATAAATTACATGTAAAAGGACGCATTAAAAAGGACAAAAGATATAAATACCACTGAACATGCTGAATAGAATACTGAAAATTCTGAAATTAAATATTGCATGCATTTATTATTGCGATTTTTCAAGAATGGGCAAAAATGCAAGTTTAATTATTGGGATTTCTAAAAAAATCTGCATACAGATCTATGTTTCAGTTATCAGAATGCAAGTTATTATTGCGGTACTCACACAGTCGCATTATTCTCATTAATAAAAAACCTCACAATAATTTCTGAATTTACAGTATCTGGATTTGAGTTCTTATTGAAAAATTTGGTATTTAGTTTAATAGTAGTATTTGATAAAGGACTCAGCAGTAGATAGAAAATCTTTGGAGTATAATTCTGGATGGTTTCTGAAAGATTGCAAGATATTCCTTTTTAAACAAACATAAATGAAACAAGTGCCACTGCAAAAAAGAGAAAGTATTATTAGGCACTTTTAGCTCCTTGAATTAAAAAAAAAATTAAAAGTAGAGGTGTATAAATCTAGTAGATGATCATAAGACCTCAGGGGGGGGGGGGGGGACACTTCCTATATACAAGGTGATAGGACATGCCACTGGAATAGGTCACCTTTTCATGCTTCAAAATATGTGAATAGGTGGGGAAAACTATCAGAAATATATGATACAGTCAATAAAGTTCCCATAACTTCTTTGTCTGTCATCTTTTTTGGTGTTTCTCTCTTTTGACACTTTGGTATTCCACTCCCACATTGCACACCACATGAAACCCAAACAATATGGGAAAAGGTAACATTTTTACCTACGCAATATATGAAAAGGTATACATTTTTAAAATCTAAATTATATGAAAAGGGTGGGGTAACAGAACCCCAGCAGCATCCCCTATCAATTAAGTATCGAAGTGCCCCCCCCCCCCCTCCCAAGCATAAGACATAAATCTGTCTGATATCTGTACATGTCAGGACATTTGTTTTTAGTTTTTTTTTTATTATGTCCTATGTACATACAAATGTATTTGCTTTACACCTTTAACTTCTTGGATTTATGAACAAATTGTGAAAACTGCCAAAATAGCCACATTCTGAGATTTGTCATATTTAAATATGAGCCTACGGAGATGTTTTACTAAAAAATACTTCATGATGACTTTCAAATTCAATTCTTTGTACAAAGTTGTCATGTACAATTCTGATCTCTTGACATTACAGTGATGTCACAAATGAAGTGTCTGTGCTAAAGTGACCAGCACTAAGTCATTCTGTTCATTTATAAACATTTGTTGTGTTATTTTGAAGGAACTTAAGAATTTTACTGTTTTGAAATTTTGGGGGCTAAATAATGATTTTTATCATACCTCCTTCTTTTCTACATTCAAAATTTCTTTAAAATAGTTTTACTAGCATATTGTGAAGGACATCTAAATGTGCCAAAGCATTATATTCAATTGATCAAATAAATAAGATTTGAATTTTATGCTTTTATCTACTTTCCCAACATTTTTCTTTCTTTTTTACAGAATAGAGAATAATGGGCAAAATGTGCAAATAAAGAAAAAATAAAGAATACTAAGAGAAGAATAGGTCCAAAATAAAGATTAGAGAAAACTGGTCTAAAAATAAAAGAATAAAGAAATGAAGGACCCCCTATCCAGACCCTCCTAAATAGTGTTGTCAAAATTTTGCATACATGTAATGTATCTAATAATTTCTATCACTTTCTAAGACAAAAGCTGACACATTCTCACACATTTATTTATGAGTCACTGTAGAAGAGACAGAATTTTGTTATCATTCACAGATACTGGGAATCAATATAAAATTATGGAACAATAAATAGAATACAATAATGAGTCTTACACAATCAATATTTTGTTTCATCAAATTGTGCAGCATTTTCAATTTCCTTGCATAGATTTTTCCTAGTTTTCCTAATTAGGAAATGTCAAAGAAACCATTTCCAACGAAAATTATTTCAGCTTAAATTCCCTAAAGAATAGACTTATATCATGATTTGGAGTAAAAAAAACCTCTGCAATATGGTCCCAATATGATCATTCACATATTACTCAGGGGCGTAGCTAGGCCAAAATGATGTGTACTCAATGCCGGGGAAGGAAGTCATACGGCGAGGGGTCTGGGGCCGCTCAAGGCCCCCAGAAGCTCTGGAGTAAATGATGCAAAATCCTGCATTCTCGCGATTTCCTGGGACTTAAAATGACCTCACAGAAATCTTATTTGAATGAGTAACAAGTCAACTTTTTAAAATGATTAAATTTGAAAAAAAAAATAATTAGAGAAAGTAAACTTGGTAGAACTTGTTTATATATTAGGTACAATTAAAATATATAGTCCCACCACCATATATTTTAATTGTTACCTAATCAGTCTCAACCCACTATACATTAGAAAATTCAAATTTCTAAGCCAACACCGTGCAACTTAAATGGATTTTTTTATTGAGAAAATACATAAATAAATGGAATCACATTTCTCTATGTTTTATTTTATAAGAGAACAAACAGTCTTTCTTTTAGCTTTTAATTCTTAAAGTTAATTCTGAAAGTCAATGACCATTTCCTTTCCTTTCTTCTACTGAAGATGTCCATAACCGTGTCTGTTAAAATTTGTTTTTCACGGTATATGTTCAATAGACCAAGCCCAGATAAACGATTGGTTTTCATTGTATTTCTCTAGTCTTCTCATGGTACCGAAAGATCGTTCTGTCGTTGCCGTCGAGACCGGCATACATGCATATACGTTAAGTATATTAAAGTTTCCCGAGTATAAATCCTTGTTTATAATATCATAATTTGGAATTCTTTAACTATATATAAATACGTTTGAAGTCCCGAAATCTACAAGGAAAAGCATCAAATTGTTTCCGATTTCTATTTATCAACTTCCAAAACGAGAGTATTTTATTTTTACCAAGCAAGGAGAACAAGCACTTTAAATGAACATGGAGAATAAGCACTTTTAATCTCGAGGCACGTATAGTTAAATCGGGGGAACACGTTGAACGAGGCACCCGTCTTGCACGACCGAACGCAGAATAAAAAAGTAAAAACCCGTTGGTCGTCAAATAAAAAAAAAACGGCGAAGACGTTGCAAGAAAATTACCATTAACAATCTTAAGTTTAAATTAAGTTTGACTGGACTGTTTGAAAAAATCTGTTCATGATGACAACCTATGTTAGACTATACATATCTCACAGGATAATCATAGGATGACTTGTTGCCCAAGAACGTCATATTTTATTTCATCAGTTATTTTGAAATCTTCAGAAAAGATGTCAGGGTAAGGAGGCATTGCAGCCGTAACAATTGTGTTCTGACACCCGAGGACTCAGCTATTTTAATTGTCTGCATCAGCAACACAATCACGATTGAAAAGAGTAGACTAGTTTCCGGAACGAAATATAGTTACAAAGTGACTATTAGCATATTTTTATAATACTTTTTAATTTATTCTATTACTTTAGTTTTATTCTTACTAGATTTGCCATATTTTTATTTTTGTCAAATTTTCGATGTGTACGCAACTGCGTTTTTGCGTACGGGTTGCTACGCGCCTGTTACTCCTATAAACCTGTCCTATGAGGATGAAGATTACAATTAAAATCACTAATATGTGATCAAGATAATCTATCAGTATGCATTATACAAGACTTCATCACTTCGTTAGAATTTGAAATGATTTTGGACCATCGATATTCAAAGGGTGTTTGTAATATAAATATTTGTAGGTGGCGGAATTTTCGACAGGATAATCAAATAACCAATTTTTTTCCTCTTTTAGAATAAATCATCCTTCCAAAATCCATGTTAAAAGAAATAACTTTTCCTTTCCTATTATTAATTTCCATTGCCTCCTTCTTATAGAGTGTATTTCCTTCGATTAGGTATGCAAATGGTATCACAGATTTCAATGATAAACAATTTTCACATCTAAAAACTTGAACAACAGATTTATAAATATTATAATTGGTCTCAACATTTAATAAATTTGATGATAACAAATATAGATATTTATTGAGGTAGTATGATTCTACCAATTGGAATTTTTTGAAAAGAGAAATTTCAAATTTACAGCTAGCTTTTTGTAATATCATTTATAAGGCAAACAAATTTAGAAATTGTAATTTTGATCTTAAGACTAAATCTTTCATTTTATCTTATATAAAAAACTTGTTCAGTTGATAAATGTTAAATTGATATTGTAATTTTTCAATCACTGCATCAGATATTTTTTTTTATAAATGATGTTAAAAGATTGGTGTTTGAGGTCTAGTGGCAAATATTACATGCATATCATCATGGAAACATGTCATGTTTAATGTAATATGAATATGAAACCTATTTTTTTCTTTTCTGACAAGCTGAGCTGAAATTTCAATGTGCAAGTTTACAAAGTAACAGTTGCAGTAATATATATGTCACCCTTCCTGCACACATTATTCTGATTCTGAGATAACCTGTCTTTGGCCTTACTCCTAAGTGATATGTGCTTAGCAGAGATGCAGCATATAACAATGTTCAACCACATTAGCAGAGAAACATTCAACAACCTTTTCTCAAGCAATGCCAAACACTATTTTGCCAAAAATTGGTCAAAATGGACTTATCAAATGCAGAAAAAGAACAAAACAAGGAAAGCTGTCAGCTATTGCTCACTATAATGATACCCTGGCTTTAAGTATTCAGTAAACAGGAAGTTGAAGTAAAGTGAAGCTGAAAAGGCATTACACGGTAAATAATGTTCATATGAAGCATGATAGCAATTTCAGGAAGCTCTTACATCTGTAGAAAAATGTGAGGAAAATTTCATACATGTACATGGCCAGTATGTGTTAGAATAATACACAAATATTTGGCAAACAGGAAGTTAATGAGAGGTGAATCTGAATTCCATTCACACCTTATAATATGCTGACATGAAGCCTGAAAACAAATTTCAGATAGCTACTGTTTTTTAA